TATTCATGAGGAACGTTGTCAAGACAGTAGGGAATGTTTGACCAGACAGTTCATTTGCTAACTTTTCTTCTCATTTTCATTCTTTATAAACAGTGATAAACAATAATTAGCACTCTATTCTCGTGGAAACGATAATTTGGGCATTAATACTCCCTTTATTACTTGATGCGTGCACTTGCGCACTTGGGTTAGAACTAAGGGACGAATCTGTGTTCTGCAAGAACAGAGGAACGTCCCCTATCAGAACTTATATTTTTCTACCATCAGCAAACCACCCAACAGTTACTGTATAATCCTCTCCCACAGCTCCAATGTAGTATATTTCCCGAGCTAAGTATACAACAGAAATGCCTACACAGAGGACATTCCCAATTAATTACCATTCATCCAAACACATGCAAGTTATTAATTCTACAAGCATGGTTCCAGAATACTCACCACAATCCCACTTGGTCCGGGAGCAAGGGCACCCCATCGAGCTCACGGTTCGGGGTTCAAATCCATGAAAGGCAACCTACAATGATCATATACGGATCATCAACACACGGTAAATTTATAGAAATCCAAAAACGTCAAATTCCTCCCGTACACCGTGGTAGGTTCAGTCATTGTAGTGCAAAAATACAAAATATTTTTCTTTATTTTCTTTTCATTTTTCTTAAGCATCCCAAGGTTACCCTAATGTCATTTTAGGTGACATTTTTCATCCTACATCATTCAAACATCATTTTGCCAATTAATTTGCTCTAGGTTCAATTAAACAATTCAACACTATCCAATATTTTTCCATTGATTTTCAAACCTTCCAACCATCACACAACCCATCTCATCACCATTTAACAACCACAACACATCAATTACATAATTTTACAACATCACACCCTATATGTCCTCTCCAGGCCGAATTCAACATGCTCACAAACCAAAGGGTATCTAATCCAATTTAATACTTCCACACACCTTACAATCCTATATTTAACTCATACAAACACTTCACAACTCAATTACACAATCATCCCACATAGTCATTTCATAAAGTGTTGAATCATCCATTTCAATAAATTCCTCAACAATTTTTATGACATCAATCACTCTAAAACATCATTCTAAGACACATTTGTCTAATACACAATTTTAATTTGAGCTCTCTAACTACATCAATCATACAACCCACTCTATGTCACAAATTCAATCCAAATCAAAACCATAAATTGGAGGAGAAAGCTTACCACCAATCAACTCCTAGGCCACCCAAGGATGAGTTTCAACCTTTGAACTGTCCAAAACCGCCACTAACCACCCCTAAAATCCCCAAAACTGCCACCAACAGTGGGGAATGATCTGCTTGCTCACTCAATTTTGTGGCTCACTCAAGGAAGGAAAGATGTTCACAAGGTGATTTGGAACAACTTTGATGTTTCACACTTTTGAATTTGAGTAGGTTTTGGATGTGTTTTGGTGGTTTGGAGTTTTGAAGCAAAGCTTCATTCCCCCCTTCAATGGATGCAACAACTATTTGGGAGGAGAAAGAGAGAGAAAATTCTGATTTTGATGTCTTGCCATGTGGCCAAGTCCACTTAAGTGAGGTGGCCCCACCGCCACCTCACGCGATTTCAAACTAATTCGAATCTCCCGCCTATTCCGCTAAACGTCCAAAAATTCATAAACTATTTAGAAACTCTAATTTTTAACATTAACCATTGTCCTTTAATTTCCCTTGATCAGATGAATCCGGAGTTTTCCGGTCGTTCAGAGAAATTGTTGTTTTAAGCTGTTAAGCGCGCCATGGGCACGCTTCCCCAAACTTACTAATTTCCGTCATATTTCATCAGAAATCATATTTTCTAGTCCTATACACCATTCATAACTTATATGCTAACCTAGAGCTCAAAACATAATCGGCACGTTTTACGATGCAACTGTACCGCAGTATTTTTACCCGGTAAAAACACTATTAACTGAATTTCTGAAACTTGCCTAACCATTCAATTTTTCGTTCTGAATCCATTTACAGGGTCATTTTTATCTTTTGAGACTTCCTACTTAATTTTACCTTCGTAGGGTTGCGTGTTTGGAAAATTACCGTTTTACCCTTTCTTTGTATTTTAACCTGATTTTCAGGATTTTTACTACTCCTTCCCTTTAATCCAATATTAATATATTAATATATGTTTTAGAAATTTGAGGTGTTATATTCACCCCTCCTTTTTGAAATTTTGTCCGCAAAATTAGCATCGTACCGGTCCACTAACTCGGGATATAGCCAGAGAATCTCGTCCTTCCACTCTCAAGTAGCCTCCTCAGGTTTGCATCTTTACTATTTTACTTTCGTCACAGGCATAACCTCATTTTGTGGTATCCATCGTTCCCCAATCCTTCACAAATACTTGTCTATTCCAGTGATATGACTTTCTAATTCACAATATTTTAAATTTTTCATGTGCCACGGTTCCACTTTCACTAATTTATAGGTAATAATATAGTTATGTTACAAATTTGTCTACCTAACCTCACTTCCTTTTCATCTTTATCTATTTATCTGACCTAAGGTCATGTATAACAACATCAGACGACCTCCAAGTATATTTATCTGTCATTTACTGAATATTTTAATTCAAACTTTCTTTAGTACTTTGATCCTTTCGCTGCCACTACTGTTTCAACAGTACTCCAATACACCAGTCCTTTCCATTAATGTTACTAATCTTACCATTCTGTTGCTTCCTTAGCTTTCACACAGGCACCTACCTTCTAGTTTCACTGGCAATCTACCATACTCAAAATCCCAACTCACATTAAATTCCATATTTATATACTTTATTTTACTTTGTCACCTGTCTTCACCTCTTCTTAGATAATCACAACTATATTTTTCTCTTGGTGATACGAAACTAACAACCCTCATAATAGTTTATATTTTCGATTAGCCATTTCAGGCCTTCAACCACCAATTCACTCATGAAATTTTCCACCTACAACGTCATATCAATAATTTTCACTTATTGTTCGTCTATCTATCAAATTAGCCGTCTCCAAGTCTAAACACAAAATCCATCAATGACTTCCGCATCACAGGTCACATGCCTAAGATTTTCACCCACTAACCATTTTCTATTCATCATTCCGTACCAATATTGTAGATTCAACATATGTTCCATTCGTTTATACCTCCATTTCCTCATCATCGACATTTATCATGGATGTCCAACTTAAAATACTATATCGTAATTCTCACATATAAGTCTCCTTAAATTGGTAACTTCCAAACATAATCGTTCTATCACCTGGAACCACTTTCATCCTTAACAGTTTTCTAAAATTTTATCAATACGGTGTATCTCCAAAGGATATATATCTCTCACCTAGCATGTATCACATACCGTGCTCCAAGTCACTCCATTGAGTTATCAACCTTTCTTTAATCACCACAATTTAAGTTACTGATCCTTATTAGACATCTCCACTTAACTCCATCACAACTAACTTCTCATGAAAGGCTATCAGGCCACCATCTTAAATCCATGTTTTTTTTCCTCACTAGTCCTCCTCGCAAAACATTTACTCAATTATCAGTATTAACAAATTGCTATCCTTTCTCATAGGGCACGAACCCCCCGATCAACTTCACAATTTCCGTGAAACCCAAAATCCTTGTCACCACACTTGGTACTCACTCATACACATCCCCGAGTGTTCGGAAATCATACCTCAAAATACCTCGTCATGACTCCTCACTTATTATATCCAATTTGATATATTACTTTTCACTTAAAATTACCTGATATCACATCTTGCGTTCTTTACACAACACCATCCTCGTTGTGCATTTACATAAGGCATCTCACCTGTACTAGCAGTCACATCGATGCAGGATACTCCCTTGTATCATATTCCTCATATAAGATAATAATAGTCTCCGGGAACATAATCCGCGCAGAGATAACAAGAGTCTCCGGGAATATAATCCGCACGGAGATAGCCATACACTCTGGGCACATAAGCCGCACAGAGATACCCATACTCTCCGGGCACATAAGCCGCACAGAGATATCCATGCACCTGGGCACATAAGCCGCACAGAGAAAGTAATCTCAAGTATTATAGTGTGCACCCAGTACACAGGAGAATTCATATTTATAACATATCCCTATATAACGGCAAAACGTGCACTCAGTACACTCCAGATTACATATGGACCCAATCCATTTGGTGTCTGTATCATATCCGCATATAACGGCAAAATGTGTTTGGTATTTTCACATGAGGCTACCCCCCAATAATAATAATGGTATAGTATAAACATATTACATACATGTAAATTTACTATAACTTCCTCGTTTAATTCTCCCCACCGATAGTTTACTTTCATTTTGGTTAACCCTCAGACCTGCTTTATAACATCGTCACTATTACAAGAATTCTTATTCTCCTCATAATTTTGTACATATTTCCTAACTCTTAATAGTTTCTTCTATCATGTTACCGTTCAATTCCAATGTCCACTATTTCTTGCTCGTTACTCCCCTTGGTGGTTGTAGAATATCCATTACGTTTCAAACATCATCACTCCGTTTATCAACTCTTCAATACGTTACGAGGAACACCATCATTTACTGGTTCACGCAATGCGCACACAGATGCCAGCCAATGAGTTCCACTTCAAACAGTGTCCACCTGGGACTCCCAAAAGTCATACTTTTTAGGGTCCAATCCCCGAAGGGAAGCCAGAACAATTTCACGGTCACAACATTTGCGTACCGGCACTCAGGTCCACTCGAGGTATATATATACACTGGCACGAACACGACACAAATTTTTTTCCCAACACGAATACGACACAAATTTTTTTACGGGTCAACCCGAACACGAATTTTCGTGTCGTGTCGCGGGTCAACCTGCAGGTCAAAACCCATATTGACACCCCCGAGCTCCTCACTTGCCATAGTCATACATTGCCCATTATTGAGGGTTGACACATCATAAGTGATTGAAATAAAATAAGCCTTCTTATAACCCATCTATTAGCAAGTTCACAGCCTTGGAGTTTAGCTTCCCACGCTCATTTTGTTCTTTCCTCTCTATGTGCAGCGAAATATTAGGAGAAGAAAGGGCAAGTTTTAGTCACTTGAAATACTTAGAATGAGGACAAATGATCTCCATGAAAGATGTAGAGTTATGTCTTGAGAGTAAATTCCAAGTGGAAGTTCCTTGAAAGAAGCTTTAGTTTGTGACAAAACCCTTCCCCATTGCTGCGACCTAATGTTGTTAAAAAGAGAGTACAAGGACTATTTGTGTTATCTAATGGTTGGACTATGACTCTAGCTCCTTGGAAGGTGTTTTAAGGTATGTAATCTCTTTTTTTAAGGGCTGCACATAAGCGGAAATCAGTTCATGTATGAGTCTTATGATTTTTATGTAGGTTAAATGATGTATATGTTGGGATTTATGTTGTTCATGAATTATTGTCGTTGGACAACAAATTCTTCTAGTTAATTGATTGAAAAATCTGCACTTGGTGTAGTTTGAGGAACCAACAAGGGACAGCCCATATGTATTTTTAAGGTGCACTCTAAGTGTTTGACATAATTCCTAAGTGAGTCAATGAATTTTAATTATGTAATGATTATGGACTAACGAAGAATTATGGTTAAGAAATAGTGAAATACTACCATATGTGATGTTAAAATCAAAAAAATTGAAAGAGCTTTGGAGCCCTGTGTAGTTCGACCTATATGTGTAAAAGATGCACAACATGTGTTGAATTTATGTCTAAGTGAAAAACATGAAGTTGAGATTGTTTTATGATGAAATAAGTGTTTGGAAATGTTATCAAGTTATGAAGAGATGATGAATTAAGTAAAGGCAATTCAGCCCTATGATCCGTGAGGTACATGGAAGTGGTTTAGTAAGGTTACAAAGATATTTTAACAAGCTAAGTAAGTATTGGAAACAATTATATAAAAGCTTTATGATAAGAAGTTGTAAGAAATGCACGTTTCCTATTTTAAATAAGTCTTGGCCTTGTAGTCAATTGAAGTAGTTAAATATTGTTTTACGGAATTGTTTTAAGATTTAAATTATGTTAGATTATATATATAAAAAAAAGAAAAGAAAAGAAGAGGAATCAATTAAGAAACATTGGAAAGTGTTAAATTCATAGAACCTATATATATAGTTTTCGGCCTACATCATTAAATTGATATAAATTAATACAAAATTTAATGAAAATTGGAGAACAAATATATACATGATCATTGAAAGATGTTTTACGATCATGTGAGGTTTAAAATATGTGGTATTGATGAGGTCAGGTTAATAGAAATTCTATGTCAGGAATAGTTGCATGTGAATTTAGCTAATTGGTTAAACATGACAGCAAAAGAATTGTGTATTATGTTTATATATAGGCTTCGACCATAAAGAAATAATGGGCATAGATTATGTGGTTTCAATTAAAGTGAATGTTTAATAGCATTTGCCTAGAATAATCAAGTATGATTCAAGTGGGTTATGATATGTGAAGCTATGTTAAAGTGTATGAAATTCCACTATAAAAGGGTAAGTTAATTAACTAGTTGAGGGTTTAATTTATGAAGTATAAATTAAGTGGTAGATTTGTGGTATGGCATGAGCTGTCAAGGGAAATAAAATTGTCAAGTTGGTTATGAAATTAACATATGAAATATAATTATTTGGATTTCAAGTAATGTATGTTTCATTGGAACTTAATGGTACTTTTATATATACGGTAACAGAGTGTAATCAAACGAAGTAGGTAGACGAACAACTTGGAGACAACCAAGTGTACGACGTATTAAATAACAAGTTAGCAGCAGGAAAGAGGTGACAGGTAAGCTTTCGGTTTAGGAGTTTTCTCAGCCTTTTGTTCCGCCATGATCAGTGGCGATTATGGTTTCCGTATGGATATAATTGTTGTTAATATTGATACTTTGCGTAGTTGCATTCATATAGTGCATGCATATGATATTATTTATGTTATGATAAGTTAATATGATATGATCTTCAATGGGATAAAGCCTTGGAAGTGTAAGTTATGGTTTCTGAACAGAGGAAACATTTACGGACATGGTCACGGTGTACATAAGGTATAACCGAGGAAACTTTAGTTCTTTGATCATTATGAGTATGCTATTGAATATGATACGATATTACGAATGATGAAAGCCTTATTTTTACATAAGACATGAACAGACTTAAGATTAATAAGAAAGTATGTTATAAGAATAAATTAGAATTATCAGAAAAGATATATGATACGGAAATTCTAATATGGATTATATGGTGTTATCTATGTCTTGGTACTTGATATTTTTCTGCAGGAAGTGGACTCTTGGGTGGAGACTGCTCCATAAACCCCAAGTTTATTGAGATTCATTCTCACCCCGCGTTATGGGGACATATTTCAGGTATCGCAGCAGTTGACGATCGTTCTCGGGGCAAGAGGTCCGTGGTTGATGAGTAGATCTGAGAATAGATGTTGCCTGCTTATTTTGGGAGTCTGTTGTATGTATATGTACACTGCGATGATTAAGTTTATGTAGGTTGATGTAGGATGTTGTAGTTATGACACATAGCCACCTTTTAATGTGATATATATAGAGTTATGGATCATGCATGTATATTACTGTATATGATATGAAATTGTTGTATATTGTGGGTTGTAAGAGCCCCAAGGCGTTGTTGGTCTTTGTGTGTGCCACCCACTGATTATTAGGTACCATTTGAGGTCATAGACCACTTGTACAAATTTGGAAAATGTTGGAAAAACAAAGGAAATTCTGGCGAATTTTTTGGAAATTGGCAGTTTTTAGGCGAACTTTGGGAGAACATATCTCCCTCCACAGAGGTCCGTTAGGGACGTGCCATACGCCATTTTGAAGCTTGTAGTGCTACACTGTGGTAAAATATGAGATTGTTATGATCTGGGCGCTGGCCTTGGGAGGGTTGTGAACACAGCTGCCCTGTTTGCCCTGCACTTGGGGGCTGTACTGGACCGGTTTTGGGAAATTTATTCCCACTTAGTTTGTGGGTCAAATTAGGTGTATGATAAATCAAATCGAAGCTTGAGGTGTCTAGTTTGTTGTATAAAAATTTGAAAGAAATTGGTTGAGTGGATTTGCTGCAGTAATTCGTGGAGTGAGGGACATTTGGAGCTGTTTTGGGGTTGGCTGGCAGCTTTTTTTGTCCAACTTCAAACGGCGATATCCGGAGCAAACGAGATCGAAACAACTCGTGTGATAGCTTCCTAGAAAGGTAATTAAGAAAGAAAAAAAGATAGCAAGAGATGAAGGACTGGTTTTGTGTGGTGCGTCCGCAGAAATTCAGAGACCGAACCATGTTCGGATAGGTAGAAAACGTAAAATTGAGAAATTAGCTAAATGGGTTTATGGGAACCCCTTAGTGACTTGTGGTAAGTAAAATAAGTTATAAAAGTAGTTTAAACCTGTATTCCGCAAAGATTTTACGGTTATGGTCACAGCTTTTATCTATTACGCTTTTTACGATTTTAAATGCTCGCGTAATAAACGGAAAAAGTTTATTCGCATTTCTATAAATGAATTGCTGTGATTGTAACTGAGCTTAATATTATAATTAATGTTAACCTCTTGGTACTGAGGCTTGTTCCCCTTGTGTGTTCCACCATACCCGTTGAGGGTGATGGTAGGAAATGTATATGAGTAGTGTAGAATAACATGATCATGCATTTATTATGTATGTTAGTGGTACACTAGATGTACCGAGTCTCTGGCCAATAGACAGTTTTTGCCTGCGGGCGTTTCAGACTTCCACTGGATAGGTCTCCGACAGGGAGTTCCAGTTGACCCAAGGTCGTGGTGTGTGATCCGGATAGGAGCACACTAGGAAGTCTCGGGTGTATGCGGATGGGAGACCTTGGTTAGTTGTTCTTGGAACACGCCTTGGATGAGACTCGTAGGCTTATATGCCAAGCCATTAGGCAGGGCGTTGCGTGGTATTGGTAGCTACCATTCCAGCTTCGTCGTATTTTGTATTCCTATATTCCCCAGTTTCTCTAAATCCCTTGCTTTATCCCATTTTTAAAGAGGTTATTGTATATTATTTATATGCATCGAAGTGAGCCGTTGCGCGGAGTTTTCTCCAGAACCTCTGGGTTACTGAGATATATTCGTATATCTCACCCCATCTTGGGAGCTTTATTTCAGAAGGTAGTAGTGGCACAGGAGCGGCGGGCAAGAGGCCCGTAGGATGAGTGTTGGAGAGCATTTCTACTGTTTGCATTTTGATGGCCATGGGGCCTAGGATAGTCTTAGGGCATGAACATCCCATATGTATGTAGGATGAGTTTCATGTCATATTTGTTCATGCTATTTTTGCCTAAGTCTAGGTACATGTTGTATATGTCATTTTAAGCTTTATGTTTCAAGTTATAATTTAAAGTTATGAAATTGTAAGTTGTAATATGTAATTGAGATGTTGTAATTGCACAACGAATACTTGATTTAATATGATGGAAGGGCTTTAGGCCTATTTTAGGATTATAATTTTGTGTATGTTTAGAAAATGCATGTAAATGGACATTGGTGATTGAAATAAGTCAAGGATTAATAAAGTGAGCAATATGGTATGAATTGTGTAATAACTATAAACTGAGTTGGGTTGTAAGTGCCCCAAGGCATTGTTGGTCCTTTAGTGTGCCACCCATTGGTTATTAGGTACATTCGAGGTATTAGAAAGCATTTGCAAACTTTGGGATTTTTGTAAAAACAAAAGAAACTCTGACGAATTTTCGGTAGAATTGGCAGACTTTAGGCGAACTTCGGGAGAGCATATCTCCTTCTGCAGAGGTCCGATAGGGACGTGTCATACTCCATTTTGAAGATTAAGAGGTCTTCTATCTTGAGGTAAAATTTGAGAGAATTCTGGGTTGGACGCTGGCCTGGGGAAGGCAGAGAGTGCAGACTGCCCAATTGCTCACTGCACTTGTGGCAGTTCTGGACCGGTTTTGGGAAAATTATTCCCGCTTCATTTCTTGGTCAAATTAGGTGTATGATATATCAAATTGAAGATTGAGGTGTCTAGTTTGTTGTAAAAAAATTGAGAGCAATTGGTTGAATGGATTTTTGAAGTAATTCGCGGAGTGAGGGATGTTTGGAGCTGTTTGGGGTTGGCTGGCAGCTTTGCTTGTCTAACTTTAAACGGCGATATCCGGAGAAAACGAGATCGAAATAACTCGTGTGATAGCTTCCTAGAAAATTAATTGAGTGTAGAATAACATATCAAAATATGGGAGGCTTGTAGATTTCGGTTTGTCCGCAGAAAAATAAAGACCGAACCATGCTCGGATAGGTAGATAACGTAAAATTGAGAAATTAGATAAGTGGGTTTATGGGAACCCCTTAGTTACTTGTATTAAGTAAAATAAGTTATAAAAATAGTTTAAACAAGTATTCCGCAAGAGTTTATAGTTATGATCACCACTTTTATTTAATACGCTTTTTACGGTTTTAAATGCTCGCGTAATAAACGGAAAAAGTTTACTCGCATTTTTATAAATGAATTGTTGTAATTGTAACTGCGCTTTATAACATAATTAATTTTAACAATACCGGTGTACAACGAGCTGTTGCAGAAACACATTGGATAACAATTTGGGCATTGTGGCCGAACCTATAGTGTGATGGAGGGATTGCGATATGTTATTTGTTGTGCTTGTTGGACAAGTTAATTGATGACCATGTATGTGTGATCATTGTAGGTGGCCTTCCTCGGACACGATTGTAGAGGACTAACTCTTGAAGCTACTTAGTTTGGGAGCTTCTAACAAGTAATCCCTTGGTACCGGGGTTTGATCCCCGTGTGTGCTCCACCATGCCCATTTTGGGTAGTGGTTGGAGGTGTATGTGAATAATGTAGTATAACATGTTCATGCATTGTGTATGTTTAGTGGTGCATAGGATGTACCGAGTCTCTGGCCAGTAGACAGTTGCCTTCGGGCATTACGGACTTCCACTGGATAGGTCTCCATAAGGGAGTTCCAGTTGACCTGGGGTCGTGGTGTGTCATCCGTAGAGGAGCACACTAGGATGTCTCGGGTGGATATCGATGGAGGGTGCCTTGGTTGATGTTCTGGGAACACTTCCTTGGATGAGAACCTGTAGGCTATATGCCGAGGCCAATAGGATGATGTTGCGTGGCTTTGGCGTTGACCATTCCAGCTTCATCATATTTTATTCCCTATGCTCTCCTACTTCACTAAATCCCTTGCTTTATCTCGTTTTGAATGTTGTATTATATTATTGATATGCATCGAAGTGAGGCATTGGGCGGAGTAATCTCCAGAACCTCTGGGTTACTGAAATATATTTGTATATCTCACCCAGTCTTGGAGACTTTATTTCAGGTAGTGGCAGTGGTACTGGAGCTGTGGGCAAGAGACCCATATGATGAACACTTGGAGATTGGAGGATTTTTGCATTCTGAGACCACTTTGGAATAAGCTAGACTTAGGGCATGAACATGGTATATTGATTTAGGATTATGCATATTGTATATTTGTTCATGCCATATTTTTCCTAAGTCTAGTTGTTGATTTATCATGTTGTACTTTGGAAATTGTAATTGTGAACTCATGGACATTGTGTAATATGTAAAGCATGTATGTGATGAAAGGGCGATAGGCCTATTTTAAGATATGATTATGTATCTATTGTAAGGATGCAAACAAATAGGACAATATGATTGTAATAATTCTAAAGTTTTGATAAAGTATGTAATGAATCATAAATGGATGAGAATATGTTAAATTGTTGTGGGTTGTAAGAGCACTAAGGCATTGTTGGTCCTTGAGTGCCACCCTTGTCTATTAGGTACCCTTGAGGCATAATAACATATTTTTGATAAAGTGGGATAGGTTGAATAAACAAAGGAGGTGCTGCCGAAATTTATACTAAAATGGCAATTTTTAAGATAAATTTGAGAGTGAATATCTTCCTCCACAAAGGTCTAATAGGGACGTGCCATATATCATTTTGAAGCTTGAGATGTTAGTAATGTAGTATCAAAATTTGGTATCATTTGGGAGTAGTATAACTTGCCCAATTTTCAAATGAATACGGACTACTCTGTTCCGCATTGTAGAACGCAACTTCTGTAAGCAGTTTTCAAAAATTCATATCTCCCTTATTTCTTACTCAAATTAGGCTTATGATATGTCAAATTAATGCCCCAGGAATCTAGTTTCTTGTATCCAAAATTCAGAATTTTCTGGGCAGTGGATCAGTCCCAGTTTGGATTAGAACTAACGCTGCTAAACCTTAAAATGTTAAACTGGAAGTGATGCCCGATAGCAGGAACGGGAACGACTGTTGTTTAGGGGACGATAATGCCCTATGCTCAGATGGTGGGAATGACCCAGAAGGGGAACAACTATTTTGAATGACCCTAGGGAACGACTTATATGTATAGGGAACGTCCCGTGTATGGGGGAACGTGACACGTTCCCAGCTCATACATGATTTAGTAGAATGGATATAACTTGAGCTATAGGGCTCCAAATCGAGTGAAGTTTGAACCTATATGAAGCTAACACATAGGGATAAGACCTGGTAAAGTTTTAGGACCATTGAGTA